TGGTATGACAAATGGCTTTTGAACAGTTACAAGTAACCAGAAAATGTCAACCCAAAATTTAAACCAGTTTTGTATAAAATATTGTGTAAATTTCTTAGTAAAAATGATTGACAAAACTGTCAAATTTAAAAAAAAAAATTAATAAAAATCAAACAGATTGATATTTTAAAAAAATTAATATTTTAACTTTTAACTTAATAAATTTTACAACTATTTTCATAATTGAATAGTCAAAAGAAAGCTTAGATCTTAAGCTTTTTTTTGACTATTCATTCATAAGATTAGCTTCAAAATTCATTGAGATGTTATCAAACTTATATAATAGACCCGTGGAACTAAATGCACCAGACCCGTATCTCGTATACGACAGTTTGTGGTAAGTTAACTAGAATTGGAGATAGTTGATTATAAAATACTAATACAGTATCTTGCGATACAAATATTTTACGTAAGTACTTATGGTGCATTGCTTATTTATCGTTGATTATATTTTGAAGATACTAATACGTGTCGCAATAATATTGGACTAATGCAATAAATTAAGTAGATGAAATGACATAAGATAAACTGATAAACGAAAAAAAAAAACAAAAAATCAAAGTTTTCAAGATTATAATTTATGTTCAAAATTAATCTTTAGACCACCCTACAATCTTTGCTTATCGGGTTTACTCTGTGTTGAGTATATAGTCAAACTAGGATTCTGCAGATTCTGGCATAGTACTATTAAAACATGGTCCCTTGCTACGTAGTCAAAGCTGACAATATGCGATTTCCTGGATAATTAGCTTCATCATTTTTTACATTCAAATTTCTGTTATGATTACGCATATATGGATAATTATGTTTTAATCCAGACCAAAATGTTATTACGTCGTATATAAAATTGGACCGGGTTTAAAAATAATTACTTACATTTCTTGTACACTTATCATATTATCCTCAGTGTATCATTAAATTCGTTATTATTGCTTCTATGCTCGGGAGTAAATTGCGGAATATACAATTACCAAATACAGAATTTTTTCAAATATCTAGACAGACCTGTTACAAATGAGAAATAAAATGCATGATTTTAAAATTTCCTTTATTTTCCTTTTAATCTAGACTGGCCTGTTACAAATAAGAAATAATGCATATTCTTTAAAATTTTCCTTATTTTCCTTTTACTGATATAAACTTTCAGCCATGTACAATATCTGGACCTATTATACATTTTAACACTGGTGGAGCACAAGAGACCGAGTCTTTTATACGACACTTTGCATTTGAGATCAGTTCTTGGAAGTGCTATTATTAGAGATAGGCAAATTACTGATTTTTTTTAACAAGTAAAAAATTTGTGATACATATATGTGATTTGATCGAATCATTTACGCGTATCATAGATAATAAATGTAGGTATTAAGATAAAAAATAAATGATATATAGAATTTGGATTGATATAATATTATTAATTTAACCATCTTGATTACAGAGGCTCATCATTAAGAATATGTTGTAATTGGAGGTAAATTATAGCTTTATCTTGTATAGAACAAGGGTCAATCATATGAGATTCACATTATACCTCTGATGCTTGTCAAAAATGCCAAGACTTTTAGTTGTGATCATTAGCTGTTTAAAGGAATTTAAAAGCATTTTTAATTGGGTTATACTTTAAGAATATTTACTGTATATAAAATTGAATACAAGTGTTATACTTTAATTTACTATTCTTTTTGAGTATTATATTAAGGGATAAATCGCCGTAGAAAAAAATGACGGAATATTACAATAACTTTCATATTATGGATGGAAACTGAGACCCGAGACTACCAGTTTATGTTAGAGCTTAGGATGTACAGGCAATTTTCCATGCCGAATCCTTTGAACTTATAAAAAAAAAAATGGTAGTTTAGAAAGTTCAATGTCTAAACCGAACATCCTTTATTATCCAGGTTCTGTTTAGAGAGAGTTTATTATTGTCTCTACAATATTTGTTATAAGTTTACGTAGTAAAAAGAGAACACATTTCATTGTAATCTTACTGCATTTAGATTATTTTATTACATTTGAAGTATATTACTGGAAGAATTAAAAACCAATTGTATGCATCACATGATATGTACTCTAAAAAAATTTATACATGGGGGTCCACAATAAATTAATTTTCAGCCGGTACATTACTGGGGTATCATGAAAGTCAACTTCCCGAAACTTAATTATCGCGCCGTGTGATGTCGGGGATCCAATATTCAAACACCACTTATGTAGCTTGGAGGGGTTTGAATATTGGATCCCCGACATCACATGAGCGATAATTAAGTTTCGGGAATTTGACCCACAATTATTATCAACTATACGTATGCCAGTAGATCAGTGTAACCATATTATGCAAAATATTATTTCAAAATTTATCACGTGTCCTACAAATTTCAAACAGTTGTAACGATAAAATAATGAAGCTAGTCGAATTTGATTTTTGAGGTCAATTTAGAATTCTATAAGTTCCCAAACATTGGAATTGAGTCTTTGTTAATAAATCAATCAATCATAATCTGAAAGAACATTTGATCTATCTGTCGATAAACAGATGGTCCATTCTTCTGGATATCTATAACAGACGATTTTTTTGTGTTTATGAATCACGACCATTAATAATTCACCATGTGATTGACTGATGATTATATTGTGACCTGTCATGGTGACAATGAGATTATAGTTTAAACTATATAATAAAGTTATCGCTATAATCTAAATAACGATAATTTTATTTTATAATATTTTATTTATATTTTTCTTTTTTAATGCGAAACCGTTATTGGATGTTTCGCACCAATAACAGCCGCATCTGGTTGTGGACCCGGTTAGCACATTTGATTCATAGTAAATATGCGTTATAGTAATATGCTTCTTTGTTTATAATGTGAAATGATCTTACGGACACATCACCTGCCAAATAAAACTGCCATTTAGATACCTATTACATTTATGTTTTATTTATTACATTTGTCGAGATGTATACTTACGTATATAATTTACATAATTAACAAACACTAGCAAATAAACACAGCCAACCAGTCAAAATCCAACAAAGGGATTTTATTGATATAAAATATACCACCAAAATAGTCATTAACGACTTTTAGTAAATTAAATATACTTACATAAATGATGTACAAAAGTGTCTACCCTCTCGGTAAGATACGGTATATACGTATAATAATTTTAATATTATTAATAAAACCAATAAATTATTTTAAAGAAAACATGCGCTGTCTCTCTACATATTAAGATTGCTAAGATTAACTGCTGCGTAATTAGAATTACGTATTAACGGATATACAAACAACAATGGTAATAATGGTACCAAAATTAATGAAATAAAGTCTATGATTACTACAGTATTAATTATATATACATCTTATGTAGATTATGTAGATTCTATGTAGATTATTTAGATTCTATGTAGATTCTATGTAGATTCTACGTATGTAGATTATATGTAGACAAGTTCAACAATGATTATTTGATCCAAGATAATTAAAATGATCTACTGTTGAATGTATCACAGGTTCTAAATATTTATTGTTACTATTAAACATTTCTATTATGCATATTTACTGATTTAGAAACAATTCTTATCAAAAATTCCACGGATAATTCCCTATCATTGTACACAAAGTACAGCCGAAATAAGATTGACCGAAAAAAACGTAAGTTTACGGTTTCCACTTTATGCAACCTATATGTTTAATTACGACAAACAATTCCCAAATTTTGCATATATTGATTAAATATCGATATATGAAAGATAGCTGGTAATTCCCTTTAATGGTTCGTTCGATTTGTTGGAATTATTTGTAAGATAACTACCATGAAATCTATTCGTTCATTGCCTTAAATTTGCTAAATATTTAGTATCTAAAGATAATGTCAAACTTTTCCCTTGGCAATTAATTAAAATGTTTTCAAAACAACATGCCATCAAAATAATCTTAAACTAATTTTCTAAAAAAAAAAAACCGAATTTTCTTATCTTTTGCATACCTAACTTTCTTACATCTAAAATCTAATCTGATCTCCTAGTTAACTAGTTGTAGGTAAGCGTAATACAAAAGAAATTCATAATCTAGACTTTTATTTATCCTTGAATATTTGGTCATCATTATTTTTTCTAACTTGAATAATGAATTTTGGATTTCTGCTTTTTTATATATCAAACTTTAAATTTTAAATAAACCCTTTTTTATGCGAGTATATTTTCTGTGAAATCATAATTTGCAGAAAATTAACTGACTTAAAAATAAATCTAAACTCGAATGTGTATCCTCGGATTGCTTTATTTCGTACTATTGTGTATCATTGACGGACAAAATAACTATAATTAAAGATGGCGGGAACACCATCACACATATAACATTCATTTTTGAGTTAAATTGAATTAGGTTTTGATGTTTCACAATTTTCTTAAAATGTACGGTTGCTTTATCATTATATGCATTTACTCTTATTAGCATTTATTTATTATTTGTGTCACTAATGGTTCTTAATAGTTCTGATGGGTTAACTTATTTATTTCTCTGTTCTTGTTATGAACTTATTTTTTGTTGGACCTTATGAACTTTTGATTTTGCGCGCTACTAAAGTTTCATTATATATCCCATTGCCTTCGGTACCGCTCTTTATCGTTACCGTGTATATGATTAATCCCTAATTGATCTTACGATTTTGTAAGGATTAAACGTTTTCGATTTCTTTTTTAAAGGGACTTTTCCTTTTATTTATTGTTTTCCTTACATTACAATCTTTCGTTTATTATTAAAAAAATTTATTTATGTTTAATTATTAAATAACGTTGGCACGTCCAACCTGTCGCGTTAGCATTTATTTAATAAATGGAACCTTTCATGCTCTTCATATGCATAATAATTTCGATTTTATGCTTGCAAAATATTTACGTTCAAGTTAAACGTCGCGCTCAAATTCTAACATGGTACAGCATCTCGAACTCTGTAATGGCCGTCTCCTTCGTCCTCTCTGGCATATTTCTTCCAAACGATTTTAACCTCTTAAATGCCTCCCCTTTTAATTACGCTTGGTGTGCTATCAGTGGCTTCTTAATATCTTTATCTTCCATATCAAATTATGGCGTAGCTTTGGCTTTATCAACAGAACTATATATTTCTTTAGGCCTTTCTTCCTCTGTCACAAAAAGGAATGATGTCAAAATACGGAGGCTTAACATTTTTTTGACTGTTGTAATGCCAATTTTATGCATATCGTCTAGTTTAATAACATTGGCACTGCATCACAATCCTTTGTTTGAGGTGATCGATACCAGTGGCATTTGTGCTGTCTCTCGACATAGCGATTATAGATTTCTTTTATTTATGTTGAGAACTGTTCCCGAGTTCTTACCGATTTATCCTTCATGCGTTTTATCCGGTAATTCTATTTTTACTATAAATTGATCTTTTAAATTTTTTAAATTAATTTTTCTTATTTATTAACATAATATCTAAATATATATATATATTACAAATTAAAAGTTATTACCGTAGTCCCTGTCGTTAGAAAGGTTTTCCGTACCTATCGTCTTCATGAATCATTCGCACTTCCTTGGCAATCCAAAATTTCCTCTTCTCCTAGTCCTATGCGCAGCACGCGTGCGGGTCCACCACCAAAAACTGCGTCTTCCATAAAACCCACTATCCCACGTAATGTCCTTCTCCGGATGGCTTCATGGTGTTGTCTGTTAATTATCTCTGGAATACCTATGGCAACAATAATAGTTATACAAAATATTCATTACGTAATATATGATAATGATATCAATATACTTAATTATGATTTTTGGAATAGAAATGGAATTACTTTACACATGTGTTTAAGTATGGTTTTATTCCTGCTATGTTTCGGAACCGGTGAATTCGCTACCGAACAATATGGAATACTCTGGACCAAAATGCTTAGTTTTATTTGTTGCAGGTATATTATCTCCCATCTAGATGATTATTATTATTATTATTAGCTAGATCATTATTAACTGTATCATTATCCTCTTAATTTAATCAGTCCCAGAAGGCAAATGACACATCAGATAGAACTTGAATTTATTGATCATTATTCAAATGGTTCTACTCAACATTCTTCCTCTTCATTACCACCTTCTTTTATCGCATCTCCTCCAATTATATATGCTCGTTCTATACCGATAGAGTATACCTATGTAACTCCGCCAGTTGATAAAAAGTATCTAACTGGTGCGAGAGCTGGATGGGTAACCTCCAAAGCTGCTTTATGTCAACAATGTCAAACTACTCTTAAATCCGATTCGGGAAGTAAAGGTACTTCAACAATTGATCAACCTGAAATTATTAGACAAACTGTTTCTTTATGTGAAGATAACGGGATATCTAGTGCAGGGTCAACAAATGGTCATGTTTATATAACTATTCCGGAGAGGGCAAAACTTGGCTCGTAATTTTTAAAACTATATATATACATTTATTAATGTTTTTTTAACAAAATAATTTCATTATAACAACATCGCACATTTCCGGTATTCTTTTTTTTCTAAAAAAAAAAACAAAAATCTTTAATTCTTCAATAACTCAACTAATCCGGTTTTTTAAGGACACATTCCTTTGCCATTCTTTCTTAATTGTAACTTTTCAAATAGGGTATATATAAAACCTTTCTTTGTATAATTTGTTCAATTTTTTATAATTTTTCCTGTGCAATTAATTTTATATAAATGTATATACATCTCTTTTTTTTTTTTTTTTTAAGATTCTATTATCAAATTATAGTGATAGAATTAAAACAATTTGGTAATAGATTTTACCAATTTTGTTGATGGTATCATTCACAATTTTATTCATGAGCTTATTATTAGGTTACTAATAAACTAGTAAACAAATTACTTTTAAATTCATGCGTAATTTTTATAATTTCCTTTAACATTTGATTTTTAATTCATAATTAATAATTAAAATCTCAATCCATTGTGTAAATGGGAAGATGGCGATCAACATTATCACGTGAAAAGTCTGTTCATCCACTTCCGTGATGCTGATTGGTTTAATTTTTCGTCGTGGGAAAGATATCTTTCGTGATTGTTTCGTTAAGATCTAGATAAGTTAAGTCTGATTTTATTGGTTAAAGAAGTAATAAACATTATTAAAGTTCCGATTAGCTAATTTAATAATCTATCGATTTTAATAAACAACTACTAATTCGCTATTTTCAACAAATATGTAAGACTAGGTAATGCATAGTATTATGTGTCTGAGATTTATCATGTACTCAACCAATCGCCATCACATAAGCAGATGGACAGACCTCTTCTTATGGTATTACTTGTAATATTTGATCATCTATTTCCCAAGTACCAAAAAAAACTTCGGACATATGATTGTAATTAATAATTTACATTATTTATTATATATAGTCAAAATTCGAATCAATAAACAATTTGTTTTTAAAAAAAATCGATTTTTACTTTATTAATATTTTTTTGACATATTTTTCATATATTTTTCAAATAGTCGCAAATCAAAGACTTATTGAATTTTAGTACAGTCACACACCCCCAAGTGCATCTCGTTAGGACCATAGTGAAAAAAATTAAAATTTTGTATTTAGAGGGTGTTTGCATTTATAAAGAGTAAAAAAAACATAGGCTTCTATAAGTTGAGACCATGCATTTAGAGAAGTTTATATAGTAATTGCACTTAGAGGGCGTGCACTTGAGTAATGTGACTGTATTACAAATCAAAACTCGAAAAAATCGTTTAGTTGATTATTGGATAACTAATCGATTAAAACTTTTATAAACTAGATTTTAGAATTTTTGAAGGCTTTAGTCAAGGGGAGAGCCTATTACCTGTTAATATTAGTTAATCGAATTACCGAATCGGTAATAATACCAACTATTATCAGGGTTAGTTATACTTTAGGTGGTCTGGTTGTTTTGCCGGTGGTCTTCTGATCTGGTAATTTCCGGAGTATTGTTTTCTATTGTGTTATTGGTATGGGCGTAGTTTAATTTGTTCATATTCTATTAAAGAATCTTCGTTTTTTCAATACTACGTAATTGAGTTGTTGACGTTCTAACTAGGGTAATACTGTGTTTAGTAGCTTAAAAACTATGTTAAAATTTTGTTAATTTTGTCTATTTTGAAGATGTAAGTTTTTCAAAAAATAATAATTTTTTTATTTTAAAATGATTATTACATGTAAAATTATGCACTGAATTACTTTATTTAGAAGACAAAAATAGGTTATCTTAGTATAAAAATGAGTTAACTATATATTAAAGATAAATATTTTTGTTTATATATATGAACTATTTTTTTATTAATATAACTTATTTTGACTTCTTAAGTAAACTTGTTTAATATAAAATTTTACATATATAGTTTTTTAAAATATATTTTTTTAAACCTTTTATTAAGTGAAAAATGAAGTTAAAAGTAAAAAAAAAAAATGATTTTTTTTTAAGAATAAAAGATATGTAAATTATTTTTATATAGTTTTATATGATATTTTAAAATTTTTATATAAAATTGAAATATATTATCTATAAAATTTTTTAAATTATCTATACTCTTTCAAAACTAAAATTTTTGCTATTCTTTTAGTAATTATTACTGTTTCTAAGAACTCTTTTGTTTATATCTTTACTAACTTATAATTAGTAATTTCTAAATATTATAATATTTGTCTATCAGCATTTAAACTCTCTTATACCTATACTTCATACTTTTCTATTTTGTAAATTCTCATTAATTTATATAACATCTAACTTATTTTTTACAAAGTTACTATATATCAAGATAATTTATTTAATAATCTTATTAATTAAATTGTTTATAATTATTAAATACTACTTTTTTTAATATTATTAATTAATAATTCTTATAACCTTATTTATATTTTATTTATTAACTAACTTTTTATTAAGATTCTTATTTAATATACTATTTATACTATCTGTTAAATTTTTTTTTTAATATTAAGATAAAGCCTTGTTTCTATCTTTATTTGTAGTCATTAGATAGTAATTATATAGAGTTACTGAATACAAAAAGAAGTTCTATATATGCTATTACTAAAACCAATACTTGTAATTAGAATTAATCATTAAACTACTAACTATAAAACTATAACTTTAAGTAATATAAATGTTACATGCAAGAATAAGAACTTAGACATATTTATCTGCAGTTTAAACCTACTAAAGTAGCTAAGATTCATATAGATTAGTTGAAATTTTCTAAATAATATTTATTACTCTAGTATATACTAATAAACTATTCATAGATTTTACTAACTATTTACATTATCAAAAAATTAATTATATCATTATAAAGAAAAAAAAATAAAGATATGATAAATTAAATAAGAAATAAAATATAGTTAAAAAAGTAAAAAGTAATGCTGATTGAATAAGCAAATAGATAAAAAAAGTTAACAAAATTGCAAGGGTGTAGCTAAAATAAATAATATAGATTGAATAGGTAAATAAATAAAAACTAGTTAACAGAAATGTATAGATATTGGTAAAAGAAAAGACTATCATCAAGTTTATTGATTATTTTAGATACATTAAAAGTATAAATAAAATTAGTTTCTGATACTGTAGGTATCACAATATTGAATTTTTTGATAAAGTATTGGTTTGCTTGATCAAAATATGATTTGTTAAGGTTTTTTTTAAGTTGAGTAATAGTTGGTTTAGAGATTTGAGTGATGTTATAATAGACAATAATTCTGACTAGAATTTGTAGATTATTTGTTTAAGAGAAGATTTTGTTTAATACTTCTTTAAGATTGAAATTAATAATTTCATTGTTTGTTGCTGCAGATTTAAAATAAACTTTAAGATAATAATAAAAGAAATAATATATATATTTAGGATTAGTAGATGTATTATTTAATTGGATAAAGGTTTGTTCAAATTGGTTAGCTAGTTTATAAAATTCTTTAAAAGATAAGGGTGTATAAAATGTTATGAAAATAAAAGTAAAAAAATTTAAAGGTGAATATATATATTGTTAAATAGGTATAATGTTAAAAGATTGTTTAAAGTAGTAAGAAATTAGGTTATAGATATTATAAGTTGTTTTTGAATTAAGAATTTTATATTTTTCCAAATTAATACAAGTGTATATATGATATATGCTGTTTTGGTAGCATAGTTTGTTTGGTCTTGAATGAATTAGATAGTTGGTAATTCAGTTTTTTGAAGGATTAGCTTTTTATATTCATTATTAGATAATATTATTATTTGATATTTGATATAATTATAAACTTTTTGTTTATTAATATTACTAAATTGTTTTTTGTAATGTGTAAAAAATTTTTGAAACCAGATATCAAATTGTGGTTTGATTAAATGAAAAAGTAGAATATGGTAGTTTGTATTAAATTATTGAAGAAAGATATTTATAGTAATATTAATATAGAATTTAAAGGTATTATGAATTTGTAAAATAGGAATATTGCTTTTCAAAGTATTTGAAATATGGTTTATATTATTACAGAGTTGTAGTTTTCTTAATACAATACAACCAAGTAACAAGGTCACCTGGTATAATGATTGCTATTGCAAATATATATAGAGTGAAGGTGTAGTAGTTCACTTTACTACATAGCAACAGGCAAACAGTTCAAGATAGTAACAGTATATAGATTAACTTTGATTTAATAAACATACAGTGACAATCTTACCTATAGGAATTACTCTAGAGGGGGAATATCACTTTTACAAGTTAAGAATAAAGATAGAAAGGTCTAGATTAAAATATAGAAACTTGGAATTGACAGGAAAGAATAAAAGCTACCCTTTATATATCTTTTTATCTAGCAGGAATATTGAAGTTTCGAGCAACATTACTTGATACTATACTCAGAGTAATATAAATTTAAACAATATTAGATATTATTGTACTTAAGACAATGGAGGTTTAAACAATATTAAATGATACTGTGCTTGGGGTAGTAGAGACTGTGCAAAGACAACTGAGGATATTATTTATATTATTTGTCATTCATGCTTAAAACACTTGGAGCTTGTGTTTAAGCACTTTGATCCATATAAAGACACTTGGGATTTGTACAAGAATACTTGGGATTCATGCAGAGACACTTGGGGTTCATGTCAAAAATACTTGGGATTCTTGTGCTATGGCACTTGGCACAGTAATTTGGTACTAGAATATATAAAACTTATACAGAGATACTTAGAGTTTGTAAGATGATAGTAACATCACAGATGTTATTCAGTGTTATGTGGCTGTACCACATTTCTAATAACCAATTAAGATTCTTTTATCTATCTACTATATAATATAACTATTGACTAACTAATAAAAATAATAAATATAATATAAAATACAATAATGAATATTATATTACTAATACTATTTTATAACAAAACATTCAACTCTTCTTTGTAGATCACTCGACCGAAATTCA